GTACAACTGGCCATGCGAAAAACAATGATTTTCTAAATTTAAACACTAAGCGATTGACCTTGCGACTTGTTAATTGACATTGCAAACGCAAGGCGAACTGGAAATTGTAATCGTTTGAAGTCAAACGGAAGACCAGTCGGAATCATTGGTATTCGAGGAATATATACATTTTCAGCTGCGTACTTTCCGTTAATAATGGTTGTCTCAATCAAATTCGGCATAAGTCTTCTTACTGAAAGTCGAGTACCGTTGCAAAGTTGCGGTGGATTCAAATTACGCAATGTCATTATAACAGTGCCAACTTTGAGTTGCAAGTTATGTGGTGGAAATCCTGGTAACTCCAGAGAGTTCAAAAACTCCGTAGGATAATTTACTACTTCATCGGGATTTGTTATGGAATCAATGGATTTGTATGTCACCAAATCGCCAGCAATTTTTGACTGAATGACGAAATTCAATGCGTGCACATCATTATTTTTTGCGGCAAGAATTGCTCGTTGACTTAACCAAGCATAATTCTGATAATTTTCGCTAATGTTTGGGAAAACATTTTCAATAAGTTCTAATTGAGAGTCTACAAATCGGCAAAAGTCATTGGTAAGAGTAATTAATCCAGATGTCGCATCAACTGGGACTTTCCCATTTCCAACAGCTAACAATTGTTTGGAAAATTGTGCAGCACTTTGATCATTTTGAAGTTGAACTCTCATATTAGTGGTTAGCGATAATGTTTTTACGTTATTCCATAACAGTGATGCTTTCAGGCAAGCATTCAATTCATCTGTAGGCGTTCCACGGGGAATTACTGGCAACGTCTGCCTGAAATCGCCTGCCAACAATATCATCAAGCCGCCAAAGATGTTGTTATTTCGCCGAAGATCTTTTAGTGTAAAGTTAAGTGCTTCAAGTGATTTCTTGTGCGCCATTGTGCACTCATCCCAAACAATGAGCTTGCATTGCGTCAACAATTTTCCCATTGCACTGGATCGGGAAATATTGCATGTTGGAGTATCAATTGTGTTTAAATTGAGTGGCAACTTAAGTGCAGAATGTGCAGTACGACCTCCATCTAGAAGAGTCGCTGTAATTCCCGATGATGCTAACGCTAAACCTATGTCACATCTTGATCGAATAGTGGCCAAAATCAATGAAATGACAAATGTTTTCCCTGTTCCTCCAGGTGCGTCCAGGAAGAATAGACCACCAGTATTATTGGCCACCGCTTGCATTAATGTTTCGTATACTTGTTTTTGCTGTTCATTCAGCAACGGCACATTAATTCGAACGAATTCTTGCAATGTATCAACATTGTATTGCAGCTCTCGATTTAATTCTTGGTTGAATGCATCGTGCATCGATCGATTTGGCGCAATCATTCCTACTTCAATTAGTAGCTTGTTTGCAATAGTCAAGCATTGATCCTCAATCAGAATCAATCCTTCATTGTAGATTTCATCGGTTATTTGGATATCAGGATTGTTAGTTTGAATGCGCAAGCGATGCAAGATATCTTCACATATGTCGTCTTTGTATTTGTTCCATAATTGTATTGGTTGTGAAGGAAAGCATGTGGTGATGATAATTGCGAACAGCGTTCGTATTTGGTACGCATTTGATGAAACAACTGAATCCGCAAGTGTTAGATCCCAATGAGAATCGTTCTCCAGCAAACCCAATAGTTGACATGCTTCTCGATATGTTTGACATCGGTGGCCATTCACAGTTTTCAAATGCACAAATGATTTTGGTCCACGCACATTTACCAACAGAAGTCGCAAATAAAAACATTCATCACTTCTAGGATGAACAGTATATATGCGACCAAGTGCATCCGTGGAAAACACATGTGGCCAATCTGGAATTGGGGTTCCTTGTTTGCGGCGTTGGAAATTCTTTGTTGATTGATTCCAAGTGTAATACTTAGGCATATCAACGTACATCAGCGTCGCTGCGAATGGATCTGCTTCACACATAGCAAAGAAGCTAGTCAATGTTGTCGATGGTGGTCTCTCAGCTCGCTGTGCCGCATTAGCCTCAGTGAAGTAAACTCTTTGGCCGTTTTCCAAATGCACTGCTAAATGCATAACTGTGGGATATCTTTCATGAATTTGAAATGACAATAATCGCCACAGTGCTTCATTACTACTGACGTATCTGCCAATTTGGAAGCTGCTAATTTCGTCATTCGCATTTTCCGACGCAATACCAAACACAGTCATGTCGGTGCCTTTTGTGACGTACTTGCACAAATATTTGATTGATTTGGCCGAATGACAACTTTCAACGTTTGCATGTGTTCTGAAAATTCGAGATAGCAGCGGGCAATATGGTACAATAAATTCATTTCCGATCTCAATCTCTTGATTTTGAACTTTAACTTTGATAGTTCGACCATTTTCTTCTTTTGAACGCCGACGATAAACTGGATATCCATCGTTCCCTGTGAATGTATCAGCAACTAACGGTCGCGGATATCGTTTTGTGCACTTTCCATTAGCCATGCAAGGCGATAATGGATTTAATGCACCGCACGGTCCATGCACCATCTGTGTCGTCACAATATCGTGTAGATGGGGATCAGTGACTGGATCAGGAATTTCAGCTGATATGATGTCATCCACTTCATTTGAATGTAATTTATTCAGCAACCAAATTAGGATATGAGCATGCGGTAGTCCACGCTTCTGCCATTCCACCGAGTACATATAACAACGTGTGTCACCAAAAACTCGATACTTTGTAAGCACATCCATCATAACCTTGAGTTTTTGCTGAAATACTCTGGCTATTATGTCATGGCGATCTTGCGGTTTTTGGCCTATTTCCAACTCACGTTCAATTTCCGTCCACTTCGGATTGCAAGTGAACGTAATAAATAAATCCGGAGTTCCATAATGTCGCACGTACGTCATAGCGTCTTGAGCGTATTCGTGCATGTGGCGTGGACTTCCGGTATAAGATGATGGGAGAATCGTGAGACGTCCAATATTCTGAACATCACCATCTGAATGAATAGCATCTCGCAAGTGTATATAGTCCTCAGATCGTAGCTTTGCCTGATTGAATCGAATGAACGCTAAACGTTCGGTCTCGACTTTGACATACATGTCGACAGCGAATTGCTGGAATAGCCGACGGCACTTCAGAATGACATTCTCCTCATGTGAACGAATCATCATACGATATGCATAGTATTTCATAGCGCTTAGATTTTTATTCGTTGATAAGCCTGAAAATGCAAAATGGAATGAATTGTTAATGGAAACAAATAATAGCAATAATAAAAATAATTAGTGTGTTAATATTGCACCTGTAATTGGATCGACCATCTTCAACGTGATGTCGTAACCGTCTTGCCCTTGCCAATAAATGATTGGATATTGTAACGCGTCGTACAAACGATGTGTCTCGTTTACGCGATGCATGATATTGCTTCTTCGCTGAACGACAATGTCTCGCGATTTAGTTGGATCGCCAACAATAATTGCAGCAACATCATTAACGGTGGGTGCATTGAATCTTCGCACATGTTCACCTCTTGGGGTACAATCCGCTCTTATGATAAATTTGTGCGTATCTGATGGCATTCGTTCCAATGCTGTTTTGAACATGTTAACCACAGCATTATTAGCGTGAAAAAATGATTGCAACTGTTCAATAACTCGTCTCTTTAACTCTTCCTGCATATTGCACCGCACATTCAGCTGATCCACCATCGACGAAATTAAATATATTTGCAGAAATTGGTGCTGTTCATTTGGTGTTGGCACCATTGAACCATGCAAATGGTATATTTGTCCTTGTATCTGTAATTGCAAACAATCATTAGTTGAAGAATACGGTGTAACTTCTGATCGTGTGATGGTGTAGTGTGTGGTGTGCAATTCATTGTGTTGGTGTGAGTAATTGGTTATGTGCGTTGTATCTTTTACCTTGCAAGTCGGCATGAAGCCGCCTTCTTGAATGATATTAGCTCCAAAGGAAGTCATGCGAAAGCAGTTATTGTATTGAAGGATGTGTTGAAGAAAATGGCTGGAATCGGGGTCACTTCCATCAAACAATGATTTCAGTGGCACTGGTGGTGCAAGTAATGGATCCAGTTTTACTTTTCCACTTGCGCAGCACAATCCAGCCGTTTCTCTTTTGAACTTTAACGCATTGCAATATCGGCATATAGTCGTCATTGGTCCAATATCGAAATTTTTATCATCACTGTAGTTTGCAGTGGGATCATACTGGAATGCCAAGCGATTGTATGATGTCAATGATCTACGTGTACTGATGCGTTGTCTTAACCGGGCATTTTGTCTTATTATATTTTGTCTGCCTTCGCTTAAGTTTAGTAAATACACTTGCTGCTGGCTTGCATGTCTTGTGCGGCGACCGATGTCGTCCTATAGGCATTTCAGACTATGGACAGAGTGGTGAATTTAAACTCAAATGCGCTATCCACATAATTTACAGAGTTTAACTTACCACCTTAAAGACAAACGCCTGCTTTAAAGACAAAAATTTGCACAAAACACGTGATATACGGAAAAGAATAACTTATTTAACTTTTTTGCACAATTTCACTGTAAACACAATGCCGGTTTGTCACCTGAATTTAATTGAACGGTGAACATTGAGATGTCAAACAATATATCTACCGGCGCCATCTACCGACTGCGGTTTGGTTTGTAGTACATGCTAAGTTTTAGAGATGACGCCGCATGTAAAAAAAGAAAATATGTTTTCCGCTTTTCTGTTGAATTTTTTTTTTAAATTTTCTTAGCTATAAACCTTGCGGAGCCCGAGACCTTTCCAACGAATGTAAAATTGTCGAAATCGGTTCGCGCGTTCTGGAGTTATTTCGTCAGGAAGGAAAACCCGACTTATTTTTATATATATAGAAGATATATATATATATATATATATATATATATATATATATATATATATATTCATGTATTTGAATGTATATGTGTATTTTTGACCTAGTAATACTAATCGATACTTACAATATACTAAAAAGGGCTGCAGCAAGTAAATTATTATAGAATTGTTTCTTAAACAACATGTGTAATCTTCATATGGTACAATGTTAGCATGCCTTAAATGAATTAGTTTATTCAAATGCGGCTCTATATTTATTAGCAATTGGTTCATGTAATTAAGTGAAGCTTCCTTAAGATTTTGAGCATTACAATATCTGAAATATAAAGAATTGTAATTTTAATAAATTTTAAATGTATTCAGGTATTCATAAATCACCTCGAAGTTTGCTAAATAATCCATTTCTATACCTTTTTTCAACAGCCGGGGTACAATCTACTATGTATTCTGTTAATAGTAAAGGATCTCCAGTGCACAAATCCAGAGCAATGTAAGTAGTAATATTTAGTTCAGAATGATCTTGAAAATAAATACAATATTATGTATTATTGAGCATAAAGTATTATACATTGTAATGTGAATTGTACGCTAAATTATTATATAATTTATATTCAATAAGCCTGAGAATCAGAGAAAAATAGTCAGAGATCTTTTTTTAAATTTTGGAATCGATTTTTTAAATTTTGATTTTCTATATTTTGAAGTTGAGTAAACTTTTTGTTGAGTTTTTATTAAGGGTTATCCTCTTCTTATTGGCCCAATACCAATTTTTTTGGCACGAAAAACCTCAATTTTGGTTCGCAATGATCGAGGCACATTTTAATCGCTCACGGATAAAAGTGGAAAAAGTTCAATATGTATTTATATTACAATATTTAGATGATAAATTAGCTCGCAAACCCTATAACTAAATTAAAGATAGAGATCATATGATGATTATCACTGTCATAAGATCAATACATTCGAAGATTGCTACAGAAAGAGGAATTAGGAAAAAACCATCGCAGTTTTTACGACACCTTACATCATTAGCCGCTCCACTGCTAGACGACAACATTTGAAGAACCTCGTGAATACAAAGATTACCTACTCACACACAACAAATACTAAAGTCACATCCGACCGAAAATTGAAAACATAGCCATAACAGTCAACAACTGCGAAGTCTCGATAGCGCCAACAGTAGCCCCTCCACAAGTCTTACCGACGGTATAACGTCTCAAGTACTAAAACCGATAAACGATCTAACGAAAATGGTAGCTGATCTGAAAAGTGGAAGTTCGAGATGTCGAAAAAATTCTCGTTTTAGAAAGTATCCGTGTACAAGAATTCTATCACGCCAAAAAAAACAGTAGCAGATAGAGTTTCGACATATGTCAAACACTTTCACGCTACGCTCGGATAAACCAACCAAAGTACAATTTTTATAGACACCCGTATCTGATCTGTGTATATATCCACGTAAGTTGGTGCAACGCAAAGTGTCGTACTGCATCAATATACAAATAGTGAATGGAAAACTCTCGCTTATTTTTTCAATAAGAAACAGAAAAACAAAGGGCGTTGTCAACGTACTACCGCGATCTCTCACCAGGGTATAAAGCATTTTAATAGAATCACAAACCACATACGTACGACATTTTTCAGCAGAATGCGTTTTTCTTAAAATTGCGTTTCTCTTTTCCCGGCATCCTTCCCCTCATTATTAGTATATTTGCCATATCTTTGGCTTTTTTAGTTCGCCTCCTCTGCCTTATTGAGTAAACGTGTGTTCCTGGTGCTCGTCACAAAAATGGAAAAACGAAATAAAGAGCGATAAAATTTTGGGTAAAATTGAACGAAACAGCTTCGGAACCGTACGCTAAAATTGTAAATATGCAGGATGATAGTGCTCTTAGTCGTGCCCAGGTATTTTTATCGCATAAGGACTTTAAGGAGGGGCATGATAACGCGGAAAACGAGAAAGGTGAAACGGTGATGATTGCCACACCTCGTATGTTACAATTTACGACAGATGTTAGACATAAACCAAAAATATTTCGGCTGATTCGTTTTGAAGAAGTGAATTAGTTACCGAAACTGCCAAAGCCCAAAAGGAATATCAAGAACTTAAAAATGATCATTCAAAGGTTAGTTCCAGGTCATGCAAGCCGTACCCGGAACAACGCACAAGATATTTTGTGACATATCACAGAAATTGTCAAGACTATATAATTTTAGAAAAAAAATTTTGATTTATAAAAATGGCTAAATGTTACATCAAAAAAGTATTTATTGACTTCCCGTGGGGTAAGTTATTGTAATCGTCCAAAAATGAAAATCAAAAATTTTACATTTCTCGACGTTTTGAAGGTCTCTGAACATTTTGGCATACTTCAGAAAAAATGGATGTGTGTGTATGTGTGTGTGTGTGTGTGTATGTGTGTGTGTATGTATGTATGGATACAATTTTTCTTCCACGGATTCACCGATTTGAATGGTTAAAAAACACTCGATTCCTATCGATAGGGAGATGTGCTGATTAGTTTTTAGCAAAGGGAGGTCCAGCAGTTACGAAGATAAAGAGCAAAGAGTGCAGAAAATAAAAATTGAGTTTTTTAGAGAACGGAGCATCCAATTTGAATGATCCAAAAAACATTCAATTTGTAATGACAGGGAGAAGTGGTGATTAGTTTATGGCAAAGGCAGGTCCAGTGGTTTCAGAGATACAGAGCTAAATGTGCAAAAAATAGTAGTTTTTGAGGGAACTGAGCGTCCGATTTAAATGATTCAAAGAACTTTCTGCTTGTTTTAACAAAATAATTGATTTTTTTTTCGAAACTTTTCTTTTTTAATTTTTTTTGTATATCGAAAATAATTCAGATTTCTATTTTAATTCTGTTCTAATATACCTTAAACAAATAATTTCAACTTTCTAATTCAGTTTATGTAATTTTTATAAATATTAGACAATGTTACAATATTTATAATAATCTATTTTAAAACATTTAATATTCCTCGATCATCTCGTTACGGTACGGGAAGTTCCAGCAATTTGCCTCAAGGCACGATGCCTTAATTGCCTTAAAACAGAATTCCACTTACAGCTAGTTTCTTATTAAGGGTTGTCCAACCCTTAATTTTTTTCTATTATGTCATTTTTAGGCCATTTTTTTCAATGCTGTATTGAAAAATTCAACCCTAAATTTTAACCCACCTTCCACAAATCTCTATTTCATAATAGCCATCTATTATAGTAATCAAATAATTTTTCTCCTCGCTTTGAGTCAGTGAGTGTTTTTTATACCGAATTTCAGCACTAAACATACCGACAATTCGTAAATACCTATATCTACCGCGCGCGGTTAAACTGACTTCCAATTAAATAGATATCTATTTTATAATTTAATGAGTTTCATAAACTTGCATCTAAATTTATTTTTATATAATTTCTTTATATAAATAATATAATTTAAATTGTAAGATAAAGATGAATAAAATTAAATGTATATACTGAATGTCATATGGATGAATAAAATATACTTTTTTCGGCTTTCTCGCACTGTTTACAAGTATTTTAGTCTGAAATGTACATTTGAAGAAAATTTATTTGTAACATTTACAAAAAATTGACAAGTTTTTCATCCACACAAAGCCAAACTAATGGGCAATGTAGAGTTGAAAAATTATAAAAGGTTGTCAAATATCTCCCTTCCGCTTTTTTGCTCTTTATTCAATGCTTTATATAAAGTGTTACAGTAATCGGATTTAGTTCAAATATGCGCCGTTTTGTTCGATAATCTGTTTCCATCTAGGCGGCAACTTCATAATACCTCCCTCGTAGAAGCCCTCCTCCTTATTTGCGAAGAACTCGGACAGCCACTTTTCACAAGCCTCTTTTGAGTTCAACTTTACACCACCAAGGGCATTCGCCATGGACAGGAACAGGTGGTAATCACTTGGCGCTATGTCCGGGCTATATGGTGGATGCGATAAAACCTCCCATCCGAGCTCCCGTAGCTTCTGACGAGTCATCAACGAAGTGTGTGGTCTGGCGTTGTCCTGGTGGAACACTACACCCTTCCTGTGGGCCAATTCTGGTCGCTTCTGGTCGATCGCCTGCTTCAAGCGGTCCAGTTGTTCGCAGTAGATGGTAGAATTAAGCGTCTGGCCATATGGCAGCAGCTCATAGTGGATGATTCCCTTCCAATCCCACCAAACACACAGCAAAACCTTCCTGGGCGTCAATCCCGGCTTGGCCACTGTTTGGGACGATTCACCGGCCTTCGACCACGACCGTTTTCGCTTGATATTGTCGTATGTGATCCATTTTTCGTCGCCAGTCACCATCCGCTTCAAGAATGGGTCGAGTTCGTTCCGTTTCAGCAGCATATCGCAGGCGTTGATTCGGTCCAGAAGGTTTTTTTGCGTCAAATCATGCGGTACCCAAACATCAAGCTTTTTTTTGTATCCAGCCTTCTGCAGATGGTTTAAAATGGTTTGGTGACTAACTCCCATCTCCTGGGCGATGTCACGAGATGCCACATGCCGGTCTAACTCGATGTATTCCATGATTTGATCGGTATTTGTCGTCACAGGTCTTCCGCCGGCTGGCTTATCCATGGTGTCGTTTTCACCGGCTCTGAATCGTCGAAACCATTCCTCCGCAGTACCATCCCTCAAAACACCATTAATCTCACGGAACGTTTCTCTAGCGGATTTGCCTTTAACGAAGGAAAACTTTAAAATAGCGCGAATTTCGGCGTTAGTGAACTTCATGTTTACACGTCTATAACTGTTGAACGCAATATCCAAACTAATCATGCATAGCGTCGTTTTGTAGGTTATGTCAAGACCTTTCAAATTATGTATAGTATTACCAGATACGAGCTCTGTAGCGCTTTGTACTTAGCCGCGAAATTCAAAAAGGCGAAAGGAAGATATTTGACAACCTTATATATTAGGGGGACCGGAAAGTAATGTCGTTTCTGCGCATGCCAATACTTGATTGTCATTTGTCAGCTCATTGTTTGGTTCGGAGGCGTACCAAAGACATTGTGAGACATAGTGATTTCTTTACTTATAAACATTTGAATTACATTTTTTTTTTGTAATTGTGGGTAAAATGGCAGCCAAATACCAGAAGAGGTACACATCCGGCATTGCATGCTCTTTGAGTTTCGCAAGGGAAATAACGCAACAGTTGCTACCAAAAACATTTGCGATCTTTATCCAAATGCACTGGACATTCATAAATGCCAAAGGTGGTTTTCCAAGTCCAAATCGGGTAATTTTGATCTTTCCGACTCGTATCGATCAGGAAGACTATCAGCGTTAGACAACGACTTGTTAAGGGCGGAAGTGGAAGCAAATCCGTGTCAGACGATCGAGGAATTGTCAAACAGTCACAACCAACCTTGGTCGACCATCCAAGAACATTTGAAGCAGATTGGGAAAGTAAGCAGAGCAGGTGTTTGGGTCCCGCATAATCTGTCCGAACAGAATAAGGCTAACCGATCAATCACATGCAACTTATTGCT